CTTTTCATTAATCTTTCAGGCTGGTGGCTTCCCATGCCAAAGAGTATGGGGTCCAGTGGGGACTCTTTAAGCAAGAGAATTTAGGGGCCATGGGGGAGCTCCCAGCTCACAGGAAAAGAGTATTGAAATTGCAAAAAAAAATTCACAAAAGGGGTTCATTTAAGTGAAGGACATGAGGCAGAGAGCAGTAAGGCCTTGTCTCAAAAAAGAAAAACAGACTTTCCCTAGCTGACTGGGGACCAGCATGACTTCTAGGCAAGCATTCTTCAGCTTGTCAAGTCAGTGAGGTATAAAGAACGAGCCAGGGCACCTGACTGGAAGGTGCTTTCCCTCCTCTTGGCTGCAGCTCAGGTGTCAGAGGAAGGAGAAACAGGCAGCCCAAACACATTGGCTACCAACTAAAGCAAGGATAGTGTGCCCTCAAGACATCTAATACAGTCTTAGGCCTCATTTGTCATGGGATTTGGGGCTTTGTAATTTGGTCACTTCTGAATGTTACTGTAGTTGGAGCTGCTTTAGAATTCCTTGTGTGGAGTGGGGAGAGTGGGTGGGCCAGGTTTAGCATTTCCCAAACTTCTCTGCAGAGGAGGATGCAGTGGTGGCCTGCACAAAAGGTATTTGAGCTCAAGGGAGGGAGGAAGGTCAAGAAGGAGACTCATGAAATAACAAGAGACAGCCAAGACCCAGAAGGCTCACAAAATTTGACTCATGAGTGCCCATCCCAGGGATACGTAAGCAATAGACTGCCGGGAAGAAGGGACACTTCTGGGGCTCAGGTGACAGCCATGCACAGGATGCTCCTGGGATGCCTTTGTGACTCGTCACTTGTGCTGAGGTGGCTGAGGTGGGCTTTTTAGCAACACGGTTGCCTTCAAGTCTTTTATGCTCCTGGAATTGACCCCAATAAACTTATTGCTTTGCCAAACTGGATGTGGGTGGAGTCATTTCTTTGTCCATCATTGCCCTCTGTATCTTGGGGTGAATAGAAAGAGACCCCAAGGAAAAGTAATGCAATGTGGAACGTGGTATCTAGGAAATGTGGATGAGTGATGGGTGGGTATAATGCACTATGATTTGAGTGTGCCCCTGCCCCTCCGCCAGGCTCATGTATTAAATGTTTGGTTCCCTAGGTCACAAATTGGGAGATAGTGGAATATGTAGGAATGGGGCTGAGTGAAAAGAAGTTAAATAGGTCACTTATCCCTTAAATAGGGTAACTGGTGCCCCACCCTTTCATCTTTCTGTTTCTCAGCTGCTTTGAGATGAACAGAATACTCTGCTATGTGTTATCACCATGAGGTTCTATGCCATCACAGTCCCCAAATCAAAAGGCCAACGATGCATGGCCTGAAACCTCCAAAAGCTATCAGCCAAGATGAAACTTTCCTCTTTATAAGTTGATCATCTCTAGTATCCCGTCACAGTGAGAGATGGCTAGGTAACACACAGCTGGTTTCTTTACTATTTACAGTTAAAATAGCACTCCCCAGGACATGGACACAGACACAGACAAACACAGAGACACACAGAAACACACACACGCACACACAAACACACACAGAGAGAGACACACACAGACAAACACAGAGACACACACACACACACACACACACACACAGACACACACACA